CAGATGGTGTAAAGGACAGCCATTCAACCAGGAAGCTGCGATCCACCTCTATGCCCACTGAATGCACAGGTGGGTCACTGCCTTGGACATAAGCGATCATCAAATGCCACATGGCTGTATTAATTTCCTGCACAGATGTACTCGTTATCCTAATCCTTTGTTTTCTGAGTTACAGGTAATGACCTCAGCATGGCCTGCGAACGAGCTCGAGTTACCATTGAGGAGGCTCCGTCAAGTCCTATCACTCACAAAGTAAGGTCTGCTTTTTACATTGAAGCGTGGTGACAGGTCTTGTGTATAAATGTAACACAATAGCACAGTATCTGCTGCATCTTACCTACTTCCTCCATAGTAGTTTCTCTCCTGTGCCTGTCTTTGTAGTCTAGTCTGAAGAAGAGTGTGACAATGCAACACACACCATCTGAAGTATTTCACTATACAGACAGTGGAGGGCACGCTGATGCTACCTATCTTGGTAAAAGCAGTGCAATCCTCCAAGCTGCTAAGAAAGACCTGCTGGGAATCATCCAGCTGCAGGTGAGGGGTTAATTGGAGAAAATTCAGCTGGTGTCAGTGTTCTGATCCTTTTAAATTTCTTTTTGTGACATGTTAAGTGTTAAGTGACTTGAACTGTGGACCCTGATCGGACACAGTGTCTTGAGGTATGCCATGAAGGCGGAGCAGCACATGATCCGTAAGCAGTCTCACCGTCTCTAAAGTGGTGGGCAATTTGGGCAGAGCAACAAAATGTGCAGCCTTGGAAAACCGGTGAGTATGGTGGTGTTACCTGAAAATGATTACAGTCCAGTTATGAATTCCAGGGCGATGTGCGACCAGAGCCTCCTCGGGATAGGTAGGGGCCTGAGAAACCCAGCAGGCAAAGAGTTGGACGTCTTATTCCGTGCACAGGTAGGGCAAACAAAATCCTGGACATCGAAAGCAAGAGATGGCCACCAGAACAGACGTTGCAATATCGTGCGATGTCCTGCTGAGTGTTTCTGTTCAGGGTCTCTGTCTCCCATGTAAGAGCCCCAATAATGCAGGCCGCGGGCAGGATAGCCTTCTCCAAGGTCTCACCTGATGAGGAAGGCACATGTGGCTTCACATTTGGGAGCTGGGTCTGTAAGGAATGGTTAGGTTGAACTGAGTAAAGGACAGAGCCCGCATGGCCTGACGGGAGTTGAGGCATTTGGTTGCTTGCAAGTACTCAAGGTTTTTGTGGTCCATCCAGATGCCTCCATTCCTCCAATGCAAGCTTCATGGCCAGCAACTCCCGGTCCTCCACATCGTAATCCCGCTCAGCCTGTGAGAGACGACAGGACAAAAAAGCACATGGATGAAGCTTACCCCTGGAATGCTGTGACAACAGAGCTCCAACTCCTGAATCCGAAGCGTCCACTTCAACTATGAATGGTTCAGAGAGGTCTGGTTGAATCAGGATGGGCGTAGAGGCTAATTTCTGCTTGAGCTGGGTGAATGCTTGTTGCGCCACTGGAGACCACTGGAAAGAGACCTTGGGAGAGGATAAGCATGTCAAGAGGAGAGCAACGCAACTGAAATCATGGATGAAGCGGATGTAAAAATGAGCAAATCCCCAAAACCTCTGTAGCTGTTTACGGGTCCTGGGCTCTAGCCATTCCACCACTGCCTTGATTTTTGCCAGGTTCACCCGCAGCTATCCTTGCTCGACAATAAGAAAAAGAAAAGCGACCGACTGTAGGTGGAACTCACATTTCTCTCCTTTGATGAAAAAGTCAGTTCTCCAACAACTGTTGTAGTACCTGGCAGACGTGTCCCTCATGGTCTGCCAAGGACTTCAAAAGATCAAAATGTCATCCAGGTACACAAAAACACAGTGATTAATGAAATCTCTCAACACGTCATTCACTAGGGCCTGAAAAACTGTGGGACCATTGGTGAGGCCAAAAGGCATGACCAGGTACTCAAAATGTCCCAGGTGCATATTTAATACTGTCTTACACTCATCTCCCTCCCTGATCCTGACCAAATGAAAAGCATTTCTTAATTCAAGCTTAGTAAAAATGGTGGCCCCTTGTAACAGTTCAAAGGCAGAAGAAAGCAACGGCAGGGGGTACTTGTTCGTAACAGTGATTTTGTTTAACCCCCAAAAGTCAATCCATGGACAGAGAGATTCCAAGTGGGGACTTGGAGGGGCGGATTATTCTGGCAGCTAGTGAACTGGTTATGTATCAATCAATGGCCTCCTGTTCTGGCTTGGAAAGACTATACAGGTGACTGGTGGTGAGAGGCGCGCCAGAAAGCAGGTCTATTCTATAATCGTAGGATCCATGTGGAGGAAGGGAGAGAGCTCAGTCCTTGCTAAATACAACGACACAGAGGACAAATCAGGAACTGTGATCGGTTCAGATGGAGTGGATGGCGAGACACTGGGAGTGGCTGAGTGCAAACAGTTCTTATGGCACCACAAGCTCCAACCCGCAATACAACTCTTGGACCAATCTATCTGTGGGATGTGTGTGTTTAACCAAAGGTAACTGCATCCCTACATTTACCGACGGGCCTGCTATTTTGGCCGAGCTGGGCATGAGTCTGCATAATGTCCTTTTTTCCCACAGAAGAAACACTCCCCGTTCACTGCCTTTGATTCCAGTCCGAGCGTGAAAGCAGGACTTCCTGT